CTTCAGTCTGGGGCGGGGGACTGAGAGAGAGAGAGAGAGAGAGAGAGAGAGAGAGAGAGAGAGAGAGAATATGAAAATATCAAATCCCAGCTCAACCCCTTACTAGAGTGTGGTCTAGATGGAGCAGGTCACTCAAACTTTTGAACTTCAGTTTACCCATCTATAAAATTGACTGCAGTACCCAGTGTCTACATTATAGGTGGCCATGAAGTTCAAATAACAATTAATAGAAAATATGGGGGTCATGCTTAGCTGCCTGGCCCATCTTCTCTATCATTACAGGAGGGAGTGGAATCTCATGGGTAGGAAGTTTCTGAACAGAGTTGATTGGGCTCAGTTCTGCCATCTGAGTCAAAACTCAAAACAGCAGGTTTTCAGGATGGTGTCCATCCCAGGACAGCCAGGCAGACTCCACTCTGGCTGGCCTAGCTGAGTCTGTGATCCTGTGGTTTCTCTGCATTGGGGAATTTGGAGATTTTCCTTTGCTCAGAGCATCAATACTGAACAAAGGCCTTTCAGGTCACTGCTGAGCCAGGACCACTGCCATCCCTTGCCATGGAAGGCTAGGCCTTTCCGTTGTGATCCTCTGAGCCTTGGAAGCCTGGTACCTGGCCCAGCTGCCTCACACACTGTGACCCATACCACAGGGAGAGGCAGCCAGGAGGCTTTGGCCAGTATCCCTCCACCCCCTTTCTGAGAACTGCTCCCTGCAGGGGCAGAGCTGAGGGCAACCAGGCTGAATGGGGCCCTTTATCCCCAGCTCCCACTGGGAGGCCGAGCCACTGCCCACCACACCCATGCCCAGGAGGAGCTGAGCAGAGACACTTGGCCCCAGTGCCAGCCTCTGCCTTAACCACGCTCTCTGGCCCCACTCTGTCTGGGTCCTGCAGGATGAGTCCAGCCCTTGCGTCAGAGATGGCAGCCTCAGTGTGAGATGAGCTTATAACCTCAAAGTGTGTGTGCACATACACAAGTGCGTGAATGAGAGAGGTACCCAGAGCAAGACTGTGAACACATACTAGGGCATTGACTCCATTCAGTACAAGTCAGTGGCCTGCTGTTTGCAAAGCTGGGCCCAAGGACACATCGGCCAGCATTGTGCTTGCATTCTGTTCTGCAGGAATCCTATGAAGAGAGCTCAGTCTAAGCATTACCAGTGGTGGTATGCAGTGGGAGGGAAACCATCCAGGCCTGGGAGACAGGGGAAAGAATTCCTGTGTTCCAAGTGCCCTGCCCAGTGAGGTGACATTTACTATGAAATCCAAAGACTGGAAGGCTTAAGCTGTGCAAAGGGCAGCAGGAGCAGGACTTGGAGAAAGAGGGCAGAGTGCGCAAGGCCCTGAGGCTGAATCAGGGCTGTGTTGTGGCATGGGCACAGGAGAGGGCAGTGTGATGGGAGATGATTTCCCAAGAAGGCAAGAACCAGTGCCTTCATAGCCTGCAGGCACAGAAAAACAAAGTTTTATCCTCAGTGCCCTGGGCACTCACTGAAAGCTTTAAGCAAGAGTTAGGTTTTAAGAATGTTATTCTGGGACTGGTGAAATGGCTCAGCAGGAAAAGGCACTTGCTGCCAAGCCTGATGATCTGAGTTCAATCCCTGGAAGGAGAGAACTGACTCTTGACAGTTGTCCTCTGACCTCCACAATAAACAAATGTAAAAAAAAAAAAAAAATTTAAATAAAAAATATTATTCTGGCTGGGTGTGGTGGTGCACACCTTTAATCCCAGCACTCAGGAGGCAGAGGCAGGCGGATCTCTGTGAATTCAAGGCCAGCCTGGTCTACATAGTAAGTTCCAGGACATCTGGGGCTACAGGGAGACCCTGTCTCAAAAAGACCAAAAAAAAATTAAATTAAAAAAAATTATATATATATAATTCTGAAGCTAGGCATGGTGACACAGACTTATAATCTCAGCACTTGTGAGGCTGAGACAGGAGGATTACCAAGTTCAAAGCAAGCCTAGGCTACATAGTGAGCTCTAGCCTGGGCCACAGAGTGAGACCCTGTCTCAACAGCAGCCAACACAACAACAACAAAAAATTCATTCTGGCTGGTGGAAGTAGATTGGGAATGGGACAGGGGAAGATAAGGAATCAAAACAGAATGAGCTGGGTACAGTGGTGTGTATCTACCTGCTGGGGAGACTGAGACAGGATGATGACTTGAACCCAGAGGTTTGAGGGCAGCCTGGCTCAAAAGAACAACAGCGAGGGAGAGGAAGGGAGGGAGGGAGGGAGGAAGGAAGGGAGGAAAGAAAGGAAGGAAGGAAGACTATAGGACCTAGACAGACCATTGATCAGATAGATACCCAGTAACTTGACCTCACCTTGTAATGACAGCCTTGTGTGCCATGCGCTTCTTCCAATCCATTTTCCAGACTGTGGTCCTGCTGGGTAGATGAGAAAGCCGACATTCAGGAAGCATAAGGTGTCCAGGACCACAGTGGTGTCACAGCCAGCCTCCAGCTGGGTGGTCCTAGATTTTAAAACATTTTGCTCCCTTCAGCCTGGCTCTGGGACCTGAAATTGTTTCTCCCTCTGAGATGCCATGGAGCTTCCTCTAGCTGTAAGTGCTATGGCAACAGTGGCATTATAGTTTGTTTTTCTTTTAAAACAGGGTCTCATTCTGTAGCCCAGGCTGGCCTAGAATTCATGGCAATCCTCCTGCCTCAGCTGTCCCAGTGCTGGGGTTACAGTTCATGCACCATCACACACAGCTGAGAGTTAGTTTCAGTCCATTGTAAAACAGTGGGCTTTTGCAAGTCTGTTTTCTTGAATGTGTGGAAGTCCTGGGAGTTGGAAAAGGGGGCCAAGTGTAGCTCAGTTGGTGGAGTACTTCCTAGCATGCAACACATAAACTGGGTGTGGTAACATACAAAGTAAGTTCCAGGCCACTGGGCTACATGAGAACCTGTCTCAAAAAACGGGAAGAGGAGTTATACACGCATGGGTAGCCACCATTTATCTCTTTTCTTTCTTTGAGATGGGTCACACTGATCTCAAACTTGTGGACTTGAGTGATCTCTTGTTTCAACCTCCTGAGCAGCTGGGACTAAAGGTGCATGCCACCATGTCCCACTGACATTATTCTTTCCAGGGATGGACCATCCCATCAGCCCATAGTTGTCCTATGGATGGCCCTCTCTTATCACCAGTATAGTCAGCTAGTATCCTCCTACAGCTAGTATCCTCCTATTGTCTCACGGACCTGGTAATGGCCTGCTTATAGAACACACCTAACTCCTGGGGTTTACTACAGAGCTCTCCGAAGGCTGGGATGGGGTCTCTTGCCAGTGGTGCTGTGTCTGCTTTTTCTGCTGTTCTAGGCCTCTGGTTCCCTGGCTCTTACTGGGGCAAAGGAATCACTTTTCATAAAAAGCTCTGGAGGCTGTGACTAGGGACTACCTCCTAAACACCCACATTCCCCCTAACCTCAGAATGAAATCAAAGCCCTCATTGTGGTACTTAAGACCTTGGGGAAGGAAGGCCTGGAGAGGTGGCTCGGTGATTAAGAGTACTTGCTGTTCTTGATGCATAGCTCATAGCCACCAGTAACTCTAGTTCCAGGAGACTGAATGTTCTCTTCTGGTCTCTCATGGCACCTGTGTACACAAGTGCATGCACAGACAGACGACAGACAGACACACACATGTAATTAAAAAAAATTTTTTTTAATCTTAAAAATATGTAAGTAGGGCTGGACAGATGGCTCAGTGGTTAAGAACAGTGACTGTTCTTTCAGAAGACCCAAGTTTGAATCCTAGCACCCACATGGCAGCTAACAACTGTCTGTAACTCCAGTTCCAGGAGATCTGACAGCCTCTTCTGTCCTCCATGGGCATTGCATGACACAGGTGCACTTACTTACATGCAGGCAATATATGCATACACATAAAAATAAAAAATAATAAAACATTTTTTAAAAATATGTAAGTAACGGGGCTGGAGAGATGGCTCAGTGGTTAAGAATTTGGGCATTGCACAACGTGGGTGCACTTATACACATGCAGGTAATACATGAATACCTACAAAATAAAAATAATAAATAAAATATTTTTTTAAAAAATGTAAGTAAGAGTCTGGAGAGATGACTCAGCAAGTGGTTAAGAGCACTGGCTGTTTTTTCAGAGGACCCAGATTCAGTTCCCGGCACCCACATGGTAGCTAACAACCATTTGTAACTCCAATTCCAGGGGATCTGATTCCCTCTTCCGGCTTCTGTGGGCATTGCATGCATGTAGTACGGTTATATACATGCAGGCAAAACACTCATACATATTAAATAAAAATAAATAAAATAGGCCTGGAAAGATGTCTCAGTGGTTAAGAATCCTTACTGTTCTTCCAGAGGATCCAGGTTTGATTCCCAGCATTCACACAGCAGCTAAAAGCCATCTGTAACTCCAGTTCCAGGGGATCAGACACCTTCTGCCCTCTATGGGCTCTGCACACATGTATTGTGCTTACATGCATTCAAGCAAAATACTCATACACATAAAATAAAAGTAAATAAAATATTTTAAAAATAAATAAAGCGCGCGCACGTGTGTGTGTGTGTGTGTGTGTGTGTGTGTGTACTTTAGGTTGCTTCAGGGATTAATCAAGAAACCTCAATAAGAAACTCTTAGCATAGCATATGTAAGAGTACAGTAAGCCCTTAGCTACCACTAATATTCATCCCTCCTCTGCCTCTCTTGGGCCCCATAACCTACTGAAGATCCACCTCAGGGAACAGCTGTGGAGACCAGGTTCCAGTGGAGAGTGCAGAGGCCCAGTTAGGAGAACCCCGCTGCAAGGCAGCATAGCTGGAATGCAGGACTCTCACCTGGGGTACCTGCTCCTTAACTGGTCCCTACAGCCCCTCAGCCCAGTCCTGGATGGCAGGAAGAGGGACTTGCACTTAACGTCCAGATGCTGCCACCTCATTGTGTTTCTTCAGCTTCCTTCTCCCTTCCCGGAGCAAGTTAAGTCCTGCTGAGTTGGGTCTGTTTCAGGTTGAGTGTAATCTGCCCTGTGATACCGTATTTCTGAGGCAGCATCCCATGGCTTTGAAGAGAAGCAGCAGCCAAGCCTGCCATAAAGGGGCTGCAGTGCATTTACAAGCAGCCTTTAATGCCCTGTGGTCTCAGCTTCCTTAATGGGGATTTCCCTCCTCCTCCTTTTCCTCTCTCCCTTTAATATGGTCCCTGGTTTGGCTTTCCCAGTGCGGTTTGGATTCCTCATGGAGAAGTCAAGACCATTGACTCGCTTCCAGGCCTCCCCTTCCTCATCCCTGTGGGCTGACTGGGCCAAAACCCCAAGTATAGAAAAGAAACATTGCTCAAGAGAGCAGCCCCATTGGGGTTCCAAAAGGCTGTGAGCTGACTTGTGCTTGAATTCCTCTATGATTTTACACTGGAGCAGCAGACCTGTGAGCCCTGTGGAGGGGCTGCGCAGTATCACGCATGGAATGGTGGCCTTGCTTACAGCAGTCAACGGGGCCTGTGCTCAGGAGCCAGGGAAGCTTTGATCAGATAAAGCCTTCCCCTTCCCCCACTTTCCATGTCCTTCCCTTCTCTAAACCTCTGTACCTCCCAGAGACCTGAGTTACCTCTTCTCTGTCTTCACTAGTCTCATCACCTGCTCTGACTCAGGAGCAACATTTACATCCCTAGAAGACAAGGCTTAGCCAGCAGTGCAGTTGACTTGGAGATGCAGGCCAGGAGGGGCACCCAGGTGGCTTCCTTATCTCCTTCCCTCCCTCTTTTCACTCTCACAGATTGAGAAAGGGTAGGGGGTGTCACTTTTGGAGAGTGAGGCTACCCTCAGGTTGGTACACTAGGTCCCTCTTTCTAGGCTGCCCTAATTTCCTCTATGTGTTCCTCCCGGGTCCTGCTGGGTACCTCTAAACTACTGGTATCACAGAGTCTGGTTGCTCTGATAAACAGCTGGCTCAGGTTGGAAGCCCAGAACTTCAGCTAAGGGCCACCCCTCATTTTGTCAGTCCGGAGAGAAGTCTCAGCACACAAAGCAATGGCTTTTACACAGCATCTCCACAGTTGCACACGTACGCTCCTTGACATATGAGCAATAAAGTAGCAGGCAACCGGGGCTGGAGAGATGGCTCAGTGGTTAAGAACACTGACTGTTCTTGCAGAAGACCCGGGTTTGAATCCTAGCACCCACATGGCAGCCAACAACTGTCGGTAACTCCAGTTCCAGGGGATCCAATGACCTTTTCTGTCCTCTGCAGGCATTGCACGACACGGGTGCACTTACCTACATGCAGGCACTATACTCACACACATATAATTTAAAAGATAATAATAATGATAAATAAAATATTTAAAGTGGCAGGCAACCAAAAAGAATAATAGGACAAGAGGCAAGGACACCAAACATTGTCCCTCCACAAGTAGTGGCATCACCAGTCTCTTAATCACCTTTTATCTCCTTTGCAAGGGAATCCCACAGTAGAGCTCTTTTGTCTGGGTGATTTTGCAACTCGTCATCTGGAGGTGGACAAACTGACTCCAGGGGGCATGAGTGGAAGGGAGCTCAGACAAAGGCTCAGGTGTGACGGGGGTGTAAGTATGCCAGCAGGTACTTACTGAGCACCTGCTGTGTGCTAGGCCATGCTAAATGGATCGTATGAGCAGACGGGGAATGAGCTGTACACTGCGTATGGAAAGATAAGACGTGAATGGGAATCAAGTCATACACGTGATGTGCTTAGGTGATCCCGTCTCTTTTAGACAGAGCTGATGACTAGTACTGCAGTGATAGGAAAGTGAGAGGTCACTGTAGACTCTGTTCACATGACACAAGGTCCCCCTCATTATGCCCTTTTCCCTGCCAAAGGCTGCTTTATGGAACAACCAGGGCTTTCTGCCCGAAGGAGCCCACGTAAGCTAAAGTGGCAGAATAGATGCCCTCCAAAGCAGCTTTCAGTGATAAGAGGGAACTGGGTCAATGCCCCAACTACCCCAGCCTCTTTGGCCTTAGAGGGGAGACCCCTGAGGAGCCTTCTAGTTGCTTCCTACAGTGACCCAACAGGACTGGGCCCCAGCTGCCCACAGAGAGCTACTGTCTTGCCCTTTCTCCTTTGTGGCTTACTCTCCTCCCTTCCCCTAATGGTATTTACTGTTTCTTCCCTTCCCCCTGGTGACTTGCACTAAAATCCTTGTTTCTGACTACTGCTGGGGAACAACCTAAACCAAGGCAATGGCCTTGCTTAGTACTTCACTTGAACCCCAGCAGAAACCTAGTGGGTTAACTTGCAGTCTGTACATTTGTTCATGGACAGTGGACATGGTCTTAATTCCGACTGCTTGAAACCAAATGATGATATCAATCTCCAACTATTTTTTTAATATTTTATGTAAGTGAATGATGTCATGCAATGCCTATGGAGGTCAGAAGAGGGTGTCAGATCCCCTAGAACTGGAGTTTCAGATGGTTGTTAGCTGCCATGTGGGTGCTGAGAACAAAACCCAGGTCCTCTGCAAGAGCACCCAGTGCTCTTAACTGCTGAGCTATCTCTCTAGCCCCCACTATTTTTTAATTGATTTTTTTTCAATGTATATTTTTATTGAATTTTCTGCATTTCATACAATCCATCTTAATCATATTTAGACCCTCCTCCCCTACCTGCACCCTGATATAACCTCCCCCTACCAAATTTCATGCATTATCATATATGTTAAGGCCTGTCAAATCAAGTTTGTATACCCAGATGTCCCTCAGTGTGAGCTTATCCACTGGAGTCTAGTCAGCCTATCTAGAGTCACTCCCTTTTAAGGAGTGACTTTAAGGAGTGATCTTTAGAAGATCAACTCTCTCACCCAGCAGTAATCAGCTGCCAATAGTTCCTTACTAAGTTTGTGGCCTGCTGCCCATTTCCCTAGTTCTGTGCTGGATTTTTATCAGATTGAGTTTGAATGAGTCTTGTGCATGCTGTTACCATTGCTCTAAGTTCATATGAGCAAATTCCCAGAGGCCTGGAAGACTCTGTTTCCTTATGAGCATGCACCAATCCTGGCTTTTACAATTTTTCTTTCTATTCCCTCTTCTGCATTGGTCCCTGAGCCATGGTTGGGTGAGGTTTAATACAGGAGTCCTATCCGGGACATGCACTCTGCAGTCTCTTATTCTCTACGTTCATGCCAGTTGTGGCCTCTGTGTGCATTGCCCTATGTTGCATGAGAAGTTTCGCTGGTGAGAGCTGAGAGATGCATTAGTATTCTCTCTAACCCCTGTTCCGCTATGTTCTATGAGCCTTAGGTATAGAGGTTCTGTTGTAGATGTGTTGCTTAGGGCTGGTCATCTCACAGACACTTATTCTCTGTGTTTGACCAGTTGTGGAACTCTGTAATAGCCTCTATCAGGGTAGTATGCAGGTCTCAGATAGGAAAGTATAATTGATTTTTTTTAATGTGTATGAGTGTTTTGCCTGCACATGTGTGTCATGTAGTGTCCATGAGGCCAGAAGAAGGCATCAGATCCACTAGAACTGGAGTTATAGATGGTTGTTAACCACCGTGTGGGTACTAGAACTGAACCTAGGTCCTCTGCAAGAGCAGTCAGTGCTCTTAACCACTGAACGATCTCTCCAGCCCTATCTAACTGGTTTATTTTATTTATTATTTTTATTTTATGTGTATGAGTATATTGCCTGCATGTATGTGAGTGCACCCATGTCCTGCAATGCTGTGGAGGTCAGAAGAGGGCTTCGGATTCCCCTGGAACTGGAGTTAAGGACGGTTCATAGCCACCATGTGGGTGCTGGGATTCAAACCCGGGTCCTCTGCAAGAGCAGTCAGTGCTCTTAAACACTGAGCCATCTCTCCAGCCCCCTAGCTAGTTTAAATAAAAGGAGACTGTTACAGTTTTACACCAGTCCCAGGAAACAGCTACATCCAGCTACTGAAATAGCAAAGAAATCTGCCCCTCTCTGTCTGACTCTGTCAGTTCCCCCAAGAAGCATTTACTGAGCATATACCCTATGCCAGGCACAATTTTTCTTTTTCTTTTTCTTCTCAAGCAATAATAAAGTTGGCCTGGGGCCTCGAGTCTTTCATCCAACCAAGTTAGAAACTTTGGCAGAGAGAAGACTCAGGGCTATTCCTCTTTGGCTCAGAGGGTCCTGCCCATGCTTGAGCCAATCACTGTGGTTCTGGTTGATTAGGCTGTGTCACCAGGCTTACCTGGCCAGGGGGTGTCATCAGCCTTGCTGGCAATAGAGGAGGCCTTCTCCAGAGGACATCAGGGACAGATTGGGACAACAGATAGGTGTTATAACTCTAGGTGAGCCCTTCATCACCTGCTGGCTCCATGGGCCCCTTGATGGGTCACCAATGTTATAACACATAGCAGAATGTAGCTAGTGCTCTAGGAATGCACAATGTGTTGTATATATTCTAGAAAGAGGAAGATTATCTCGAGCACACCCTAAAGCAAGGCCTTCTGAAAAGGAGACAGTCACTGACCCTGGACATTAACATCCACTGGGTACAGAAGTGCCAATGTGTAAGGCCTCAAACATCAGATCAGTGAGTTCAAATTCTGAATTTGACAGGCTGGCCTGGGGATGGAGCTCAGTAGTAGAGTGTTTGCCTAGTATATGCCTAGAGTGGGGATTCTGAGGATAGGATCAGCTGAATTACTGGTGTAGAAAAGTACTGTGCATTGATATATTCATGATTGAATGTGACTATGTGTTGTGTATTCGTCATGACCGAACACACTGACTTGTTCATCATGACTGAGTAAGAAAAGGTCTGAGGGATGAGCACTTCCTGTAAGCCTTGCCCATACCTGTAGACTGATGTCCCAGCCTGAATGGCTGTAGGCTTTGTGTTTAGAGGCCAGAGAATAGTCAGGCTGGAACAACCATGATCCCTTTGGTGTTGCCTGTCCCGCCCTGGAAATAGTCACCCACCTAAACTAAGAATAGGAATTCTTGCCTGGCTGGCAGAAAGGAATGCTAAGTTCTCAAGGAGGGATGAGCCAGAAAACAAAACAGCATGTGGGTTGGACCATTCTTCATATTTACCTGTGAGGTCACTAGAGAGCCATGCCCCACATTGGGCATTGTTCCTGCCACAGACCCAGACAAGGTGACTTGGCCAGGTTGTTCATAGAAGCCCAAGATGGCAGCCTCCAGGGAGAGACCCAGGGTGCTCAACTTCGGGCACCTACTGTCCCCCCAGAGAGGTGATAGTTCCTTTCTTGCTTTGTTGACAGTGGGCTGAGGTGATACAGGTGGTGACCAGCTGAGATGCTGAGACTCCAAGGGGAGGGAAAATGGGAGAATCTTTGAGTCAGCTTTGGTCAGACTAGCCCTGCTCATGGAGCCTCTCTCTTCCAGGCAAGATCCTCTTCCGGAGAAGCCACATCCGGGACGTTGCTGTGAAGAGACTGAAACCCATCGATGAGTACTGCAGGGTGAGGCTGGGGTTTTGGGGTGAGGGATAGTTGGAACCTTGGCCTCAGGCCCCTTCTGCCAGTGAAGAAAGTTCTCTATGCAAAATCCACCAGGGGCCTGATTTTTCCTGGCTGAGGTTGGGGAGTGAATGTTGCTTGGGAGTGGTCACCCCTGGGACTGGGTCACCCTCTGGGGCAGAGGGTCTAGGGTTCACAGATAAGGCTCTGCTCCATTTGGAATGTAGCCATGTTTAGGAAATGCTGGACTAAATCACTTCTACCAGCTTAGGAGCTAAGTGCTGACAGGATCCTATGGGTAGTATTTTGCTAAAGGCAGGAGGACTGTTTCTTTGAATTCCTTAAGAGGAATGGTTGGAGTCAGTTCTGAATACAGTGGCATCCAGAATACACATTTGTTTATTCACATAAGTCTTGTTAGATATAACTGTCCATATATACATTACTTTGTACATCTCTTTGTTTTTTGAGATAGGGTTTCAAGTAGCCTAGGCTAGCTTCAAACTTATTATGTAGTAAAGGCTGACCTTGAACTCCCGATCCTCCTGCCTCCCAAGTGCTAGGATTACAGGCTTATACGTACATCTTTATAGATGCAAATTTACAGACAGAAACAACAGTGATGTCATAAACCCGAGCCTATTTGACTTTCTGCTTGTTTTGTTTTGTTGGTCGGAGTTTTGGGGTCTCAACATGTTATCATTTAATGTCCTGAAGCTACCTGTGTCATTGGCACATAGATGGCCAGACTGGTTGATTCAAAGCCCTATGTAGCCTCATGAATTTATTTAGCACCCCCAAGCCTCTGTGTTCATGTCTTTCCAGTAGGAAAGAGGGTGGTCCCCCTATCATGAGGGTGGAGTTCACTGACATGAACCAGTGTGGTGTGTGGCTCAGAGGAATGCTTCTACAGGTGCCTTTGCCATTCTTACAGAGCACAGACATTTATATTAAATAAACAAATAATTTTTTTTAGATAGGATCTCCCTCCCGGCTGGCCTGGACCCCCAGGCTAGCCTCAGTTTTACAGAGATCTACCTGCCTCTGCCTCCCCTGTGCTGGGATTAAAGGTGTATACCACCATGCCCAGCTTATGTAAATTTTTTAAAAACACACTAAATGCAAATAAAGGGCTGGAGGTGTTGCAGTGGTAGACCGCCTAGTATGTACAAAGCCCTGTGTTCAGTCCCTAGCACTGAAGAATAAACTAAAAATACAGAAATAAATAATAAAAAATAAGCAAATAAATGAAAAAAGGCATTAAATAATCAGCTGTTATTCCTGATCCCACTGACTTTAATAAAATAGAATTTTATCATTAAGCTGGTATGGTGGCACATGGTTGTAATCTAGCACTCAGGAAGCTAAAACCAGCCCGGAGTACATAGCAATATCATGACTCAAAAAAACCAAGTGTTAAAGGTACAGCTCAGTGGTGGAGCTTAGCATGCCCAAAGCCCTGGGTCTGATCCTCAGCATCTCAAAAAAAAAAATCAGACCCCATAGTAGGTTTCGATACTATGGGGTCTGATTCAGGAATCCCAGGGAAGGGGACAGCAAGATGGCGCAAGATGGCTCAGGTAAAGGTGCCTCCTGCCAAACCTGACAAGTTCAACCCCTGGGACCCATAGCAGAAGGAGAGAATCCATTCCTGCAAGTTATCCTCTGACCCCTGCACACATACTGTGGTACAAGCATGGGGCACATACATATCAATCAATCAAATAATAAAGTAATTTTTTTAAAAAAGCATTTTTGGCTGGGCGTGGTGGTGCACACCTTTAATCCCAGCACTCGGGAGGCAGAGGCAGGTGGCTCTCTGTGAGTTCAAGGCCAGCCTGGTCTACATAGTGAGTTCCAGGACAGCTGGGGCTACACGGAGTCCTGTCTCAAAAAGACCAAAAGAAAAAGTGTTTTTAAAAAATAATCCCAAGGAGGGACTGGGGAGATGGCTCAATAGGCAAGTGTGCTTATTATAAGCGCAAGCTAAGAACCTGAGTGTGGATCTCTAGCACCCAGTACAAAGCCAGGTGAGACTTCATACACCTCAACTCCAGCACTGAAGAGAGCAGAGACAGGAGGATCCCTGGCCGGCCAGCCCAGCCAGGAAAAAAACAGCAAGTTCCAGATTTATCTCGAAACCCTGTCTCAAGGGAATAAGGCAGAGTGATACATAGATACATAGAACAGGACACCCAACTTGATGTCCTTCTCAGGTCTCCACAAGTGCACATGGGCACACACACATGCATAGACACGCAGACACTGTAGAGAGAGAGAATCCCAGAGAGACTGGGCATGGTGACATCAATAATCCTGGCACTTGGGAGGCTGAGACAGGGTGGAAGATGGCCCAAGTTTGAGGCCATCCTGGACTGTCTCAGGCATATTAGAACAAAAAGAACCGGGGTCTAATCCCAGAGCCCCACTCACAAACTGTATGACTTTGAACAAATGGGATTGAAAACCACTGTCTCCCAGGCATTGAGTGGGAGAATGCATAGCAGTGTCCAGTGACCTCACAAATATCCCCCACTGAGCTCTTCCTGGTAAGGTTCTTTTCTATTTTAATATTTTATAGTCCTGAGTCATTCTTAGCAACACAAATATTTAAATCAGGTTGGGTATAGTGGCACACGCTTATAATCCCAGGGCTATCCTCAGCTATATAATGAGTTTGAGACCAACCTGGGCTACATGAGACCTTGTTTCTAAATAATTAATAAATAACCAATCCCACAGATGTTTACATCAGAGCCAAGTTGTTAACTACCATCCCCTAGCTTCCAGGAAGACAAGTCATCCCCTATACTGTCTGGTAAACCCATGTCAACTTGGGTCACATGTTCAGCTGTGTAAAGGATGACCCATGATGAACAGCCCTCAGCTAGATATCCCTCTTCAGGTCAAAAATGTCTTTTCTCTTTAAAGGACATTCATTGTTTCTAGTTAAACTGACAGCTGCATCCAAGTTTTTATTGCTTTTTACTCCTTTTCCAAGAAGTTAAATAGATGGGCAAAGCTAATGGAGGTAGGACAGAGGCAAGAGAAAGCCTTTGCAGCTGACTTGAATCAGTCTGCCTCCTGAGCTGGGGACCCCAGGTATCTGTAGTTGACTGAGACTCAGAGGAGGAAACAGATAGCATCTTGTCTCCTCGGGTCACACTTCGAATGCTCTCAAGTGCTACTGGCAGCAGGAGAGCCACTGAAGTGGGGTCTGCTAGGAGAGGGCCTCCTAACCTGTTTAGCATGGATGGGAGTGGGTCAGAGCAGGACTGCTGACTGGGTCAGGGGTTCATCATCTGATAGGCATCTCTCAGGCAGGACTTCACTCTGTGAATATGCCAGAGCAGGGATCCTGCAGACTGGTCTGTAATTCTGCTGCATTAGAATACTGGGCTCTATACTCCAGTTGTCTGAGAGGCCCACTGACCCTTCCGAGGTCAGTGGGATATGCTAGCAGTGACCTATGCTCACAGCCACTCAGTAGCGCTTTCCACAGCTCTACCATCAGATGGTATGGTCTGTGACCACTCAGTGTCACTGCCACCACAGCCAACTTCATGCCTGCCCCATGTGTAGTCCACTCCACAGCTAGACTTTGTCTGTCCCTGTCCTTTTGTTTGTTTGATTTTTGAGTCAGAGCCTTGTTATGTAACCAGTGGTAACTTCAAACTCTTAAGAAACCCCTACCTTAGCCTTTTAAGTGCTGAGATGGCAGGTGCATGTCACCACACCTAGCTTCCTGACCTTAGATACACACCATGTAGAGTTCTGAAGTCCTTATTTACAGTCTCCTGCATATCCAGCTTGGCTTGGCTGGCCAACATCTGCTTCCTCAGACTTACCAGGCAATGTGGGAGCACCCAAAATTGTGAGGCTGGCTGTATACAGATATGGAAAGTCTGACTTTGCAATGGGTACTCTGCCACAATGGCCAGCCATTTCTCTTTGAAAGGTGATTTCAGGGGCTGAAGAGATGGCTCAATGGTTAAGAGCACTGTCTGCTCTTCCAGAGGACCCAATTTCAGTTCCTAGCACCCACATGGTGACTAACAACCATCTAGAACTCCAGTCTCGAGGGATTCAATGCCCTCTTCTAGCCTTTGAGGTTACTGCAGGGCAAGTACATGCAGGCAAAACATTCATATATTTAAAATCAAAATAAATAAATTAGGAGCTGGAGAGATGGCTCAGCAGTTAAGAGCACTGACTGCTCTTGCAGAGGACCTGGGTTCAGTTCCCAGCACCCACGCGGTGGCTAACAATCGTACTTAACTCCAGTTTCAGAGGAATCTGGCACCCTTTTCTGACCTCCTCAGGTACTGCATGACATGGGTGCACTTACATGCATGCAGGCTATGTACTCATACATATAAAATAAAAATAATAAATTTAAAAAATAATTTTTAAAAAATTAAAAAGGAAATTTCACAGCTCAAAATTCATTATTTTTAAAAAATGTACGTGGAGCAGATTGGATGGAAAATTTCCCAGACACCAGCCAGTAATTGTTTTATGTGGCACTTGAGGGCCAGGGGTCTATCAAGGGGCTCCAAAGGCATTTCTTCAACTCTGTAAATTAATTCGCCATGCGCAACAGGGCGAAGCGGTTGCTGTGTAATAGGTGGAGCCTTCATAAGTTGCAGGCTTTCATCTAGCTGACAGGCCTGAGTTGTGCCATGGGAGTTTGGGCTCACAAGTTCACAGGGGATTCCACTTACTCTGAGGGTGAGACCTGTTTGTAGTGTTTGTCTGGGAAATAAATAAGTGTCCCAGTGGGAGCTATGTGTGGAAGGGAGGTTGTTGGAGAATGGTGTCTCACCTATGACATGGTCATGGCATTTATCCAAGTCCCTGTCTCCTGGTGTGTGTGACCAGAACATTTTTGCTGCCTCATCAGCTGAGCATGTTTCTATACTGTCTGTGGCATACTTGCTTTTAGGGGTGAGGGGACGGTGCAGTCAGGGGTGGGCAGAAAGCCAGAGCCCACCAAGATTAGC